AAAATTTCTCATAGTCAATTTGGATTTATGCCAGCCACGTCTATTATGGAAGCTATACATTTATTGAGAGGTTTGATGGAGAAGTTCAGAGATAATAAGGAGAATTTACATTTGATTTTTATTGATTTAGAAAAAGCTTACGATAAGGTTCCAAGAGATATCCTTTGGAGAGTTCTCGAGAAGAAATGTGTTGATATGACTTATATTCAAGTCATTAAAGATATGTATACTAGAGCTGTTACTTGTGTTCAAACTGAAGGAGGATTGACAAAATATTTTCCTATTTCTGTTGGTTTACATCAGGGATCGACTTTAAGCCCATATCTTTTTGCTTTAGTTATGGATGGTCTTACTGGACATCTACAAGAGGATGTACCTTGGTGTATGCTTTTTGCTGATGATGTTCTTCTCGTGGATAAAACGAGAGAAAAAGCCCAGGAAAAACTTGAATTATGGATGTGCACATTGGAGTCTAAAGACCTTCGTTTAAGTAGAACTAAAACTGAATACATGGAATGTAATTTTAGTAGTAATAGCTCTAGTGACAGAAGTGTGACTTTGGGTGATCAAATTATTAAAAGGTGTGAACGATTTAGATATCTTGGGTCCGTTGTCCAAAGCGATGGTGATATAGATGGGGATGTTAATAGTAGAATTCAAGTTGGTTGGTTGAAGTGGAGGAATGCTTCGGGCCTTTTGTGTGATAGAAAAGTACCGCTAAGACTGAAAGGAAAATTTTATAAGACGGTGGTGAGACCTGCAATGCTCTATGGCGCTGAATGTTGGCCTTTAAAAGAGAAGCATAATAATAAGTTAAGTGTTGCCGAGATGACAATGATTAGGTGGATGAGTGGCTTTACACTTAGAGACAAAATGCGGAATGAATATATTCGTGATAGGGTTGGTGTAGCTCCTGTGACAGACAAAATTAGAGAAAGTCGCCTTAGATGGTTTGGTCATATTAAACGTCGACCATTAGATGATCCGATTAGGAGAGTAGATGTTTTAAATTCGACTTGTGTTAAGAAAAACAGAGGTAGACCTAGGAAGACTTGGGCTTATTGTATTAAAAATGATCTTAATTTACTAGAACTAAATGAAAAAGGCTTTGTTGTTGTTGTTGTTGTTGTTGTTGTTCCATTTTGCTAGGCTAGGGCACAACTCCTGTTTCTCGCGACATCATCCTTCCTCCCACACATGGGAACCGAGCACCTCCACTGCAGATGCACTTAGACTCACGTGAGTGCCAAATCAATTGTAAGTAATGCCGACAACCTTCTTTCACTCAGATGCGGTGTCAACAACAAGATTTGAGATGGTCACAACCTTTTTTCTCTATTTCTTCCTTTTCGCTCTTTGTTTCATCTCGTTGAAATGAGATGCCCGTCTCCTAAAAGAAACTAACGAGATGATTGATTGAATCAACTCTACCTTTTGAGATTTCTTTTCATTTTTGTTTTTTGGTTACTACACTAACAAATGCTATTATTATTGCAAATTGGTATGGTTCTTATATATATGATGCTCTTTTGTTGAATGATGGAGATAACTGCAAAGATAAATGGTTTTTGAATTTAGTTTGTTCATATCATTATTTATCCTACTAATTAGTTTTTTTCACATATAAATCATGTTTTGACTAAAATATTGACCAGAGCTAAAAATTTTATCAAATCCTAAGTTTTTTTTCTTCTTTGAGTGTTCTTAATAATGCATGATGCATATTCTCATGAGGCATTGTAATCTGTAAAATATTTTTTTTTTCTCTGGAACCATATGTATTTTGGGTTGGTTAGACTAGGATATGACATGTTGATGATCAAATCGGTACATTGTCAACATCTAATGAAAATTGGCTGATAATGATTAGCCTGGTGGTGTGTGCCAAGCCACTAACGTTGTCAGAGGTTGGTTTGTGGGTTGTAGACAAAAAATTTAAATACAAATGGGCTTACGAGTGATTGTTTTCCTTGAGTTCATTAGGGATGATGTTTTAAGCCATGTTCATTAAACGTAGGCTCATTAGGGATTTCTTTGAAAGTATGCATTTTGCATTTCTATATCAAAAAGGTACAAAAACTATGCATTTATGCTTCTGTGATGTACAAAAGTGAGAACTGTAATCTACAAGTAAGGTAGAGAGTTCCTTATCATCATCTACATGCATCAGAATAAGAGGATCATTAAGGGCAAGCCTAGCACAAAAAAAGGGTACCCTCTTATTGTCTCGTGGTATATCAGAATGCAAAACTTGTCTAAACTTGAGCATAAAAGGCAAAGTCTACATCGTCTTCATTTTAGTTTTGCCAAACCTCCTTCTTCATGGTTGATCTCATAAACAACATAACGATAATGTTATCCATAACGATACCCTTCAATGATTATGCCATTGCATTCAAACATCCATGGTTCCAAAATATTATGAAAAAAACAGATGGCTTCAAGCTTCACTTTGGCCCAATCCCAATGCTCCACAACTTGTCCCGCGGCAATAGGTCCCTCACCTTGTTCATTTCGAATAATGGTACTCGTGGCAGTGATACCATAAGGTAGAAGAGCTTCATCGACGTTGACTTTAATCCATCCGTGAGGGGGAGGTTGCCAGAAATTAGAGAGGACTGAACCAGATGTCTGACTAGCATCCCAGGTGCTTATGTCTTCAAATGCCATGCTTTTTTTAGGGCTGTTTGGTTTGTTGAAAATGAAATGCATTGTAAAAGATTAGCAGAGTACTATAATTACAACGTATTTAAAATATTTAGAGTTTTTTGGCTCATCGTAAAATAAACACAAGACTTTTAAATTTTTTTGTTTGGTTTGGAGTAGATTAAAAATAATGTATTTCAAATTATATTCTTTAAAAAATATCTTTTTTGTTTGACAGTAGAGGGGCAAGACGCCGACAGGGGTGGGTTTCTGGGCGGCAGGAGGACGGTCAGTGTAGGTAGCGACGGCTTGCAGTTGGCTATTGCAGAAGGCGGGAGGGAGGACGACTGACATTGGGTAGACGACTAGCAGCTGGTGGCAGCGACAACGTGAGACAGATGGGCAACTGGCGGCGAACGACGGGTGCGACGGCGGCCTGCCGGTAGTTTATTAATCCAAAATGAAGTATGATGTATTCTTCAAATTTATTTAGATTTTTATATTGCATTTGTAATTCTTCAAACCAAACACACTATTTTCTAAAATTTATGCAAAAGAATCACAATACACCATATATCTACTCAACCAAACGGTCCCTTAACCTCTTGATCACTTAGGAAAGTTCTTAGAGTGCTTTGCATTAAGTGACACTGCCACTAGTTGCTGCTCGCGTCTTGCCCATCATTGATACTGCCTGCTTGCACTTGACCGCCACCACAATCGTCAGCCACCTGTCGCAGCTGCCTGCCCCCTTCTGCTTGCCGTGGCCCGCCGTCACCGCCACCAAACTTAACAGGTTTATTTTACATTGAATTTATTTTCTTCAAACCAAACAATAAAGTACAAAATTATGTATTTATTTTATACTGAACCAAGTAACTATAAAAAATTCCAAACATAGTACATTACTTTAACATTATATTTCTCTTACACTCCCTTTTTCAACAAACCAAACAACCAATTTTATTTGATCTACTTTGTTAGCGTTAGTTGGAAATTTCATTCGGAAATAAAATGCACGATTCTTTCATCCAAAATAAAGCTCCTCCTTTTTGTGAATCAATGTTGGCATTATCGAGTAAGTTGTGGGATGCGGCTACTATGTACTCATTGGCAGCTTCTTTTCAGACTAAATACTCCCTAGCTTATAGTTGTGGCTTTTTTATGTCACTTCAAGTCCGCCGCCTCTGTTTTTCTATAAAGGTGTAGACTCATACGTAAGCTGAGCGATGGGAGGATATTACAGGGAGTTCCTTTTTACGGAGACACATTGCATTAATTGAATTGCCTTTATTTGATCTTGACAGTCTTAACCCACATTTATCAACAAATCCATACAACTATGTAAACCTTAAAGGGTACTTGATTTGTTGGTACAACTTTAGTAATTTACAATGAAAGCTCCTTGGAAGTCTTATGCTTTAGAGGTTCTATAAATTGAGGTTTATTTTATGCAATGTGTTAAAGTTCACTTTGGAATCACTTCGATGACTTTGTATGAGTTTATTCTTCATTTTGCACCACAACTGATATTTTGGCTTATCATCTTCTGCATATAATACTTAGGCCAATTCCTTCGACAGATGTTTCGACTTGAAATCTTTCGCCATGAAGTTCTTATCATGCCTTTCTTTCACGAAATATTAAAAATGGAATTATAACCCAGCCTTTGTAATTGCTCAATGAAGAATGTCTTGTAATCTTGAAATTGCAAATTTAATATGACCATCAGATTTTTTTTTTAAAATCTGTGGTTTATCTTCTGAAATTATCTTAATAATTTAATTTAGACTATATTAATGTAAAAACATTTTGAGGTAGGCTTCATTATTCCAAATAGTGGAGTTTTATGATACTAAATATAAAGTGTTGTGAAAGTACGAGGTCTGCATCTTGATTCTGTTTGAATTGATTTCAGCCACCCAACTGGAAAGTTAACCTGGCCCCAAAAATTCAGAACCACAGAGGATAGGTTGATATTGAAACTTTATGATTTGGTTCAGGCTTCGACAAACCTTACTTTATTTACTATAAATTTTAAATTTCAGTTGACTGGAGGAAAAATAGGTGACCGCCTGTTGGCTGAAGCTGAAACAAATCTTGCTATAAATGTTATTCCAGGTGCATCTGAATCCTTTGAAGTTCAAGGGAGAGGAGAGCTACAATTAGGTATGTTTTGTGTGTTTTTTTTCCATTTCAGTTTATTTATCATTTAGTATATTTTCAGTTTTTTATTGCTTTTTTATATTTTTTGAAGAACTCAAGTCAATTTATCCTATGATATATTAGATATTCTTGTGCTTACGGTTGCTGTAAATCCCAGGTATTTTAATTGAAAACATGAGGCGTGAAGGATTTGAGCTGTCTGTGTCGCCACCAAGGGTCATGTGAGTTTACTAGGAAGCTTTTGTAATAACTATAGTTCTTTATTTTTTTTATTATTTTTGAGTATATTTGTTTTGTTCTTTTTGTTTGCTACTTTAAAGAATGCTTTTATGATCTTAACTGATATTTATGTTAGACACATGCTTTAGAGGAAATTGAAGGAAAGACAATGGAAAAGGAGAAGAGAGAAAAGTGAGAGGTGAATACTGTCTAATTTGCGTTTTAAAGAGCTAGCATGGAAAATTAATCGGGTGACAAATGCACATAGTGGTTCAAATTAGGTAGAGAGGCGAGCACTACTTTGTAAGCTCATATTCATGGAGTCCTTTATCAAATCACTACAATAGCATTGATCATAGTGATTTAGCATCAACGCTTGTTCAACGATGGCTTTGATTCCTATAGCCATATGCACATCCTGAGGATTTAAATTCATTTTTCTTTGATGAAGAGACTCTTCTGCCAATTCCTATATGATGTTTATTTATATGTGGGTTTCCTGTTATGGATTGCGGAGATTTCTGTCAATATGCTTGAGCCAATGTATTATCTTCGATAAATGACTTCCAGAGTTTGGGAATATAAATAAAAGATCTTAAAATTTGTAAAATATTATTTTTATTAATAATAAAATTCTAACTTTTGTTGAATGTTGCATACTATTTTAGAAGTTGATTATTTTTTTACTTTACTACAAGTGTGATTGCTATTTTTACGTGAAATCATCTCTTTGTCTAGCATAAGGTTTAACTTTTTTTCTTTGGTGATTTCTTTGACTAGCTATTCTTCTCTTAGTTCAATAAGAATAAGGATTGAATTGATATTCTGAGCTCACATCCCTAAGGGTTGAGCTATCATGTTAAACAAATTTCAGTAAGTCCTAGGGCCGAATCATCTTTTAATTGGTACACTAAGCTTCTAGGTAGAACCAAAAAGCTAGTTCATAAGTCAAAGGATTGAGTTGTCAAGTTAATTTAATAAGCTTTATTAGCTGATTTGGTTAATTTAATAAGCTTCAATAGCTGATTTAGTACTATAAATGATAGTTTAACAAGTCCATTATTTGAAGCCTAACGGCAAATTGACACCCCAGCTTATAAATGTAAGGGTCGAGCTATTAAGTTAATTCAATAAGCTCTAGTAGCCGAGTAGGCATACATTTGTGATAGTTCAACAAGTCCAAAGGATTAAATGATTTTCCTACCAATTCAATTAGCTCTAGTGGTCGAGTTGCATATATGTGTTATAGTTCAAAATGTTCAAAGGATTAAATTATCTCCCTGCCATTTGAACATGCCTAAATGCGGAAATATTGCTTAACTCAATAGTCCTTAGTCATCTTAACAAGCTCCAGTTGCAAAGTCGAATAATTTTACACTGCTATAACAAACATGAGGGTCTAATCAATCCCTTTACATAATTGAATTCTATTGATTTTTTTTTTATAATCAATCCCTTTACATAATTGAATTCTATTGATTAATTTTCTATTTTTTATGACAAAGCAAAGCTCATCTAACGGTAATGCTATAGTTTAGCGCTAAGTTATGCAAGAAAGGGTGTAATGAATGTACTTGTCATAGTCTTAGATGACATTTGTTTGCCTCAAAATTAGGGTTGATTAAGTCTAAAAGCTAATTATAAGCTCTTGTAATGAACAACTTCCTTAACTATAGTTTCTTAATTAATTGGTTGAGTACTGTTCATCTTGTCATGTGGTTGTAGTTGAATCAGTTTACCTTACTCTTCATTCCCTTGCGCACCCGCTCTCATGTAAGCATGACTTACCCCTTTTTTCTTTACTCTCTTCCTTACATGTTAGATGTTTGATTCAATCAAAGCCAGTGACTTTACTGTCCTCAATCTTGATTTGAACAGAGCGTAAAGACCTTGCACCATTTTTCTTCAAATTATCTAGAGTATTTTCATCCACTGCTGATCATCAATATGGCTTTAGGGAGCTAAATGCTTGCCTTGGAGACCATGCTTAAATAAAGATGGATTGACAACTTTTGTTAGCAGTAGTGGGCATGACCATGTAATTTCAACATTGCTAAAACACCCATGGGCTCTCCTTTGGCTGCCATGCTTAAACAAAGATGATAGGCAACTTTGGAAGACATAAGTGGGCTTGACTACGCTACTTCAATATTACTGAAATACCCATGGTCTTTATTCTTAGTTAGGTTAGGTGCAAATTTTATTATTGAAAACATGCGATGGAATGCTTTTGTTCCATGACACATTGAAGAACTTTAAGAATATATATATATATATATATATATTAAAAGAATGACCGGAGGCTATTATACGAGCTGCGACCATCCCTCATGAATCTAAGAATTTGAGTACCACACCCTATACTCGGGGGATATCGAACCCCAGACCAGAGGAGACTTACAACTGACAGGCAAATGTCCGACCAACGTGAAGGAGACCTCCGTGTGTAAATAAAGTATTTCGAGACCTTGATATGTAAATGCAAGAGTTTAGGCACCTTGGTATGTAAAAATCCCTTTTTATTTTTATCAAACTCTCAATAATTTTATTCAAATAAGTGCATTGATATAGTAATATTAAAGTGTTATGTATGTAGTTATCCTAAGAAAATAGAGACATGTATACGTATCATATACTTTTTATATATACATACATACATATATGTATATATATATATATATAAATATATACATAGATTAAAAAAAGTCAATCTTCATCGTATTTGAATTTGATGGAATATAGTGAACTCACTGATTTATTAGAATTAAATGAAAACATGACACTCAGTAGGACACGATGGAGAAAAATGATTCATATAGCCGACCCGATTTAGTGGGATAAAGGCTTGTTGTTATTGTTGCCTAGTCAACTCACTTACGTTTCAAGTAAAATATGACAACATGCGAAGTACGAACAACATAAACACCAATTATGTGCTGTCACATTGAGAATTATGCCAACATATTAGAGGTATATTTTGTCAAAACTATATGGAGTAGAGAATTCGTAAATGTGTCACACTCCAACTAATCCCGCTGGTAGGGTCAATCGTGGTGCGGCAGAGGCTAGCAATCTGGTTAGATCAACTCTCACCAGCACTTGTCGTGACTTTTATAATCAGAACCCAGTGGGTGATGAATTAGTCTAACTAAATCGCCAGAATTTATGTGATACATTGTATTTCTTTTACATACTTGGAAACATGAAAATCTCATTATTAAAAACATGAAAACTATACACAACTGCTAAATATAAATAAAAATACGAACTCAAAGCATATGTACAAGTTCCCGAAATTGTCGTGCAAAAGCTATACAAAGACAGACTTAGTTATTCGCCCTCGTGCTCGTTGCTACTGCCTGGAAGACAAAAATGAAAGATGAACAACAACGAGCTCGGAGAAATAATCAAGGCTAAAATAACATTTTATATTTGAAAAAGAAATAACTTGCATGCTCGTAAAAAACTGTACATTTCTACACACACAAGTAATAACATGCTAGCATTGTAGAGAGAACATGAAAAAGAAGCAGACATTGTAAAAATTAAGACTGCAGTGTAACATGTTCATTGTAAGCATGAGATCATAAGTATAATCAAAAGCGTGTTCATAAGCATGTTCATATGTTGTTTATAGTATGTAATCATAATAATGTCATTTCATAGTAATGTCACTTATTTAATGTATATGAGCCAACTATTTTCATGTCTTTTTATCTTGGGTCGTCACCGATCCTAAATGTCATATAAACTATCGATATAGGTTAGGCTTCTCCCAACATGACAATTATCGATAGCCCCTTTGATACCCACGGTTCCCTAGCTTTCTATTACTGCATGATTTCAACAGTTCCCAGTGTTTTGTCTGTGAATAAAATATCAGGATTCGGAAATACATCTCAGCTAATGTACTTGCAAACACTTATGTAATAGTTTACCTATAGCATTACTCTTAACATTTGAATCATCACTCATGCATCAAACATTTATCAGGTATTACATGTATCATAGACATAAATATGAAGCATAATAAATAAATACCTGTAGAAAATTCATATCATATGCAGAGTCATATGTAGCATAACCTAACAATAACATTACATGTATCGTAAGAAAAGTAAACGTGCATCATACTTTCAATTACACATCCATTTATAATATGCAGGAACTTCTAAATACATCTGTGTCAAAATAGAAATCATATGAAAAGCTATAGAAGATTATTTTTTTTCAGTTATTAAAAGATTATTTCACCTGGCTTGACGAAGCAGCCTTACGATTAGTGCCCACATGCTTGTTTCGAGCTCGTCGCATCGTATTGATAACCTGGGGCTCATAGATGGCGTATGATTTTATAAAATTTAGTTCGTAACATGCATTAACCGAAAAATGTACTTTACTCACCAAAACATACCTCAAAAGGGCTTTTCGGTATAAATTCGCCTTTTTAAAATCATCAAATTTACTTTTCCTCCTTCCTATCACCTGAACCTTATTTCTCTCTGATTTTGTGCTAAAATGTTTTTAAAGAGTCACAAAATCAATTAAGACACTTCTAGCACAAAATCGGCGCCTCCGACGACTATCAAAAACGAGAAAAGAACGAAAAATGAGGCAAATGCCTGAACGAAAGGGTGATGAAGAAAATGAAAGTCTCAAATATTTTGAGAGAGGGATTCACACTTATAGAAATTTCCCCGGAACCTTGAATCATGCTCTGTTGCATTCGGCCCAGTGCCCAGTTCGTGTGACTGCTACAGTAGCCCAACTGCATTTCATGCAGGGGCTTGCTGGAAGCTCTAGATGGTTGAGAACGCAAAGGGAGGGGAAAATAACAAAGCTCTGGAGAGTCGACGATGCATCCAACAAATAAAATAGGTGGTGGTGAACACTGCGGGTACGGGATATCAAGGGAGGATTAGGATAATTAAATATTAATTAAGTTAATAAAACTTAAAATTTCTCAATTTTATATCTCTCAATCCATTCATTATTCATACAT